GCTGCAGCTGTTGCGGGAAATCGTTTCCCGTGGAACATTGGGAAGTGGATGAGGAGTGAGAAGACCCAGGCCCCGACGCCAAAGGTGTCTGTGGTGTCCGGGTTCAGTAACTTTTCGCCGTATGCAACAGTGTGTCGTAAGTACACAGCGCTTGCCGTTTGAAGCGAGTTCTCCGCCATGAAGCTTGCCAGTGTGACATTGTCATCTTAGTCCATATTAGGGCACATGTGTATCAGTGCACAGTCGGCATCACCAGCAGTTTTCCACATTGCAAGCAGTCCACTCAGGCACATCCACTGGCCAACAATGAAAAAGACTTTCGAGCTCACGTGGGGATTCCTTGTTTTTGTTCGGGGGTCCTTTCATTAAGGATCCCACGCAGGGTGCCTCGTTGTTTGGGCTCCTTTCCACAAGGATCCTCTGCAGAGCTGGCGAAACACAAGGGGCTTTGCCGAGCAGCGAGCTACTGTGCGATGGGCAGATTGATGCAGATTGCAGCTGCTGAGGCTTTTCGCCGATCTGGCTGCGTCTCGAACACAATTGCATAGACTGGCGCTTAATCGATCACAGGTCGCAGACTCAGCTGCCAACCGTGGACTTCGCAGTGCGCAGACTTGTCGATTGCGGGAGTTGTCCAGAATCAGCTTGGCCTCCCCACCCATGCCGCATGTCGTGCGCACGTCCTCGTCAGGCTTCACCGCCCGGACCTCACCTGGACAACCGCAGAGCCATGGCCTCACCGAGCTCATGCGAGGTGAAGGTGGGCGATTCCGTGATGCCTATGGCCAGGTCTCGAGATAACTGGCCACCCATGGGAGACACCTCGCCAACTATTTGCTTGCATGCCTCCTTCAGGACGACTTTTGTTCACCTGCGTTCAAGAATTTGTGGATGCGTTTGAAACGAAAGTGGTGCAGAAGGGCGTGCAGAGACCCCAGCAAGGGAGCAGCGCTTCCAGGAACCAGTACGACAGTCACGAGCACGGCTGGGACGAGGATGGTAACTGGGCACCGGCTGCTTGGTGTGCACTTGATCCACATTCGAAAATCTTCATGAGCACTGTGTTCTGCGATATTCGACCGGCCCCAAGACAGCAAGCCAGGTGAAGTAGTCACACCTTCAGATTCAGGCCTTTTGGGGGAATTCTTTCGGACATGTCTGGGTACTTGTGGAGAAGGGGGCTTTGTGCTCCTTGTGGAAAGCGTGCCCAAGCAGTACTCTGGACTGGTTGCGGGTTGTCTCCAACCCCGGGTGAGGATCGTAGCCGAAGACATGTACTCTAAAGGGAGGAGGGGAGGGGAACCCCGTCTCAGTCCATCGAAGACTTGGGCGTCCTCCCCAAAGCCTTGAGTGCTAAATCTTCAAGCAGGCTTCATGTTGCTTCCAGCCCAGGAGCTCTTTTGTCCCTGGGCTTCTGGCTTCGTCGTTTCGATAGCGATAGCATCTTTTTACAAATCGGGGAGGCTGCTGCCCAAGCGCACACGAGAAGCCGCTTTCCGTCAGAAGCTTCCCAGAACTCCAAGCGCAAGCGACTGACTGTCCTGGAGAGTGAAAACAGAGCAACGCATGCCAAGTTCCGAACAATGGCATGGAGGAGATTGTGTTGGAAACCCCACCCCCGAGACCCTTAAAGACCTGACAGATGCAGTCTTGAATCTTCCGCTTTGCAAGGGATATGCGGCAGCGTCATCCGCCCCCGATGATGGGGGCTCGTTGCTCCTGGCTGCCCTCAAAGGAGATGGTGCCCAGGACTTCGACAGGCCCAGTGCAGAACCCAAGCCGAGCCAATGCAGGCCGTAAGTCCTGCCAGGCAGCCTGTGCCGAAGCCCCGGCCCGCTCCGCTGGGCGCTGCGGTGACGGCGCCGGGGTATCCTGGCCAAAGCCAAGCTTCCGTGTGTGGACACTCTGGGCATATCTGCGTGCTGAGGCCAAAGCAGCCCGTGACATCGCCAGTCCTGAGCACCTCACCGTTGCAGAGCGATCGAGGCCGTTTGCCATACGAGCTGGCAGCTTTAGAATTGGTCGCATACGGGTGTGTTCAGCCATCCTGCTGGAAGGTGGCTACCCCTCTCCAACTGCGATGCGACCGCCAACAAAAGTACCGCTATCTTCTACCCCTCTCAGCCCCACCAGACAGGCTGAGTTCGGTGAGAGTCCAAAGCGACAAGCTGTCTCAGTAGGTGCCGTCCAAGCTCTCGTACCAAGGTCAGATGCCGTTCTGTCATAGCAGTTCTGTGTTCAGCCAGCAAAGGCACCGAGTCGGAGTGTGAGTCGATAGTTGCAGGCACCCATGCAACCGGGCCCCGTGCAGCAACTGACGGAGACCGGGGAAACTTAGCTGACTTAGCCTGTTAATCACCTTCATTGGATTTACCCTATTGCCGTTGAAACCTGCAGCAGCCCTCCCCTGCCTTCGCCGTGAGTCAGGCTGTACCACTCTATTTGCTGCTTGGCGGAAGCTCACAGGTAGGTGCACGCGCATCCACATGCCGCCACAGTACGGTGTTGATCCGAGGTTCCTGGATGCCGGCGCTGCCCACCAGATGCTCACGCGCGAGGATGGCTCGATGCTTCTGGTAGCTCGGACTTCTGAAGTGAGAGCCTCGCCGGCAGGACGGTATGTGGCGATTTCAGGGCCTGTTGAACCTCGCGGCGACAGGGCATTCGCCACTCAGCTGCATGACTTTTTGTTGGCTTTTGACTCGGAAGAGCACGCTGTACAGAAGCTGCAGATCCGTGCAGGAAGTGCATCCCGGATGATGAAAGCTTGCAGCTGCCTCCGTGGGTCGGGGACGTGCAGGTCACTAGAGCAGCCGAGTACTTGAAAAGGTATGTGGGGTGCCAGGTGCTAGGGCCGCTAGAGCCTATAGGCTTTGCAGAGCACTGCGAAGAGGACTCAGAACAGACCCTTACCGTCTTGACCGAAGACGTGCTAAAAGAGACTTGGACGAAGCAGTGAGGCAATTTCAAGTTTGTATTCAGACAGGAATCGAGGCCCGAGCCTCGAACCGGACAGGCAAGACTGAGTTCTCCAGCTTCCCAGAGGTTGCCAAAAGGTCCCCAGGCCCCAAAGGCCAGAAGGCCACGTGTTCGGAACCGGTCGTGTTGTCTGCCATTGTGAGGAAGTTCACGAATTTACATGATTTTGCGGTCATGTTGTGGCAAGCCCTGTTTGTTTGTTCTATTGGACGCAGCAAACTTGCTTACACAACTTCCTTTGTGGGCGTACAGCAAACATGGGCAGGGAGATCGATTGACCATAAGTAGGACGCACAATTAGCTGCCCTTGTCTAGAGATTTCTGTTATGCTCGCCGAGCAGTTTCCGGGCCTGACTTGCCGATGGGCAGGGCGATGGAGCGATGCGCACATCTACAGCCTCACACACACTCACTCCTGCAATCCTCGCCTGAAGGGACAGGCTTGACCTAACAGATGGTCGTCTGAAGAATGACGCTGTTGAATGTCTCGCTACCTGCTTCAGTTGTTCCAGAGGATTTGTTCCTGTGTAGCCTTTTGCATTCCCACTCATAAGAATTGGTCAGGACTGGCACAGAGGTCCAATTAGGGCAGGCATGGGTCATGGTCCAATCTGGACATGCGACATCTGAGGTCCGATCAGGGACGAAACATGGTAGGCAACCCTACCGCGAGTGATGCGATGAACGGTCATCTTGCAACACTCGTGGAATCCTCCCTCTGGCTACTTCTGTCATCCGCTGCTCCGGATTTAGTCACACTTATCAAGAAGTAAGCCGATCTGGAGAAGATATGTTTTCCACTGTTGGCATCGACTCAAAATTGCAAGCCAACCCAGCTGGCCACACTGGATACACTGAGACTACTGCTGAGATCTCACAGAGAGCTTCGTGGGGCAGAGCTCTGTAAAATTTCTCTACCCTGCAGAGAACGATACAAGTGCATGAGATTGCCTTTGTCACCGGGCTTGACCCACCCTCCCACACACACAAACACACTTTGCCTAGGCTCCGCCAGCTAGGAAGACGCATGACATAAAGATCTTTGCTGCATGACCTGGTCCCGTGCTGTCAGTGTGGAGTCACTTCAGTCTCCGAATAATACTACAACCGAGGAGCTCGAAGAGACTCACCGCGAAGATCCTTACGTGCGTCAAGAGATGGATCGCTACAACAAAAAGGACACTACTGTGAAGTGGCAATGCCATGACATTGCTGTTCTCACCGTCTTTCAGATAAAAAGTCGGCATGTAAGGAATTGGACTTGGAGTGACAGCCCATGCGCATGTGAGGATCCAAGCTCGGTTATCGGGCAATGCCTGTCCTGGGGCTTGGTGGAGGCGTATTCGGCTGACGGTTACTGTAACGAAGTACCTGACAGTCCCCATGCTATACTGTCGCATTTAGCTGCCGCCGAGAATCAGGTCGTTGAATCCCACGCGCACCTGTCCCGCATGCATATCGACAAGCAGATGGAGGAGCGGTATCCTGGGCTCGGTGTGCCGTAGTCTAGGAGACTTTGGCGATGAACTGGCGCATGTACTGCCATGTTCACGTGCCTCATGCCCCTGATTTGCTGCCTGCGGCACAATTGCAATCAATGGCAACAACTCCCAGGCAAGCGCTGCAGAGATGCACGTCCCTGAAGCCTCGCTGAAGGTGCGCAGTTTTTTAACGATCGCCGGGAAATTCTCGTGCTAACGATATTTTGTGATTGGCGGTAAGGCATTGAGAGCATGGACGAACATGCATGCAGACTATAATCATGAATAACATGTCGATTGGCTGGAAGGTCTTGGACTTTGCCTGCGTTTGGCAGAGGCCCTAGCGCAAGGCAAAGACAACCTAACACTTTGTGGCTCGTGTGTGGACCGACGCTATAATCTGACGAAGGGAGGCATCAGAATGAGCTTGCAGCGCTCAGTGATCTCAACTTTCAGTGTAGCTCAGGCAGCAGCAGCGACTTGGAAGCACTTGAGCATGCGTCCGCAATGTGTATTGCTACTTGGTCTTGGCTGAAAAGTTCTCGGTCCGCCTGTATTATCATGAACCTAAATAGGTATAGTATATTTATCTGCGTATACACTACCTTGCGAAGCTTGCGGAAATTATGGAGTCTTTTAACTTCGTTCATTGAATCGATGAGGCAGGATGGTACCAACACTCGTAGAGAAATTCATACTGCATTGGGCTGAGCGGCTTACAAATGTACTTGCGCCACTAGTATTTGGAGTAGCAGTAGTGGTGGTAGTATGTAGTAGTAGTCGTAGTCGTCGTCGTCGTCGTAGTCGTAGTAGTCGTAGTAGTCGTAGTAGTAGCAGCAGTAGCAGTTGTAGCAGTCGAAGTGGTAGGTGTATGTACATGTAGCAGCACTAGTAGTACTTGTAGCGCCTGTAGTAGTGGTAGTATGTGGTAGTGGTAGTAGGAGGAGGTGACAGCAACGCGAACAAAAATACATCAGTATAGTCTCGAGCATACCACAGTAAGTGAGCAGCAGTGAAGGGCATACTAGTGGTAGGTAGTTGCAATCGTCGTGGTCATTCTCATCATTGTAGTCTCGCCGGCAAAATTCGTGTCACCACCTGCCTGCAAGCGAGAGCTCCGCTGTTTCTTGCTCCAGGGCGGAAGCACCAGGCCTGGCTGGGGCTCAGAGGGGATGGCCAGCAGCTAGCAGGTTATCTAAGGTGACAGAAGCGAACTGCGCGTGCTGCAGCCGGAAATGAATCTGTGCATGGCTAACTGTCGGAAAGGGTCAGGCGAGTGTAGGTGAGAGTTGTGGCAAGTAAAAGTATACAGGGAAGCATCGCAGTCGAGAAGATCGAGCTTGGCTTGAAATCCGTGTGGAGGCAGAGTCATGGTGATAACGGAAGATGTTGCGCTGCGGAGCTTTAGCGCGGAGCTGCCCTCTTCCAAGATTTGGCCAGGCGCAACAGCACAAAGCATCTAAACAGTCATGCGACAACGTGAGGGGGCAAGTCAGTTCGCAGCGCGTAAGCGTGTTTCGAAGGGGGCAGGGTGCGAGATGACATTGGACGAGCTTCCCGACAGGCGTAATCCTGCTGGGGGAGCTGAACCAGCTGCTTTGGCAGGCTCAATGGGCCGAAGTGAACACAGACGAGAAAACGTTGTTGCCATGGAAGCACCCTCTCGCAGGACGATACCTACGGCGGCAGGATTCTTTCTGAGATCTCTGCTCAACCGCGGCCGAAGCCGCCAATGCAGTTCCGTGGCTGCACGACATGAGACTGCTGCCTGCCGCTCCATCTTGTACATTGTATCCATCCTTCAGCTTTTTATGATCAATTTGCTTTCAGCGGGGTATTGAACCTCGTTGTTCCCACCACAAACTGCTCGACTATCTGGTCGGAGTCGCTGCGATGCTCTAAACTGTTATCGCAGGGATGAGAGTTTGCTAGATTATTCCTTTTGTTTACTTGCTAAAGCGCCCCTGACTTTGTCCAGTTTTGAAGAGCCGAGGCCGGCTTACCAGGGAGCGATGCTGCAAGCCGCGCTGGTCTGCAAGGTGTGCGGTCTCGACAGTCAAGTAGCCGGCAACTTCACAGCTTGTCAGGCTTGGCGTTTTAGTTGGTCCGCTGCCTGCTCTTGTCGAGGTAGCTTCCTTTCGGCACGACAATGTGGACAGGCCGCTCTGGGATCGAAATACAGCCTTCGAAATGACGATATCGCAGTGCGGCTACAAGTTCTGGCCACGTGCTGACTGGCGTTTCCGCCCACAAGAATCTGGTTAACAAGTTATGTATTCTGTCCACTGTCCGAACACAGCCATAGAACAGAAGTGCATTTGTCAAGCTTTGAAGGGGGCATCGCAATGACGGCTTCCCCATGCTCAGACATGCGGCTTGATGCATCTGGCGCAGTTGCCTTCAAACTGCCCATCATAGCCTTCAAGATGCACCCAGGAGCTTCACGAAGCCTTGTCGGTGATGGCAAAGGCCCTGCGTCTGATCAGGCCCGGTTGCAATATGGGTTTGAAAACGAAGACGAGCTGCAACTTTACGCTCCTGACAGGGCAGGTCACGGTGCTGGCAATCTGGCCATTGCGGATCAGGCTGGCGATGTGCAGTCAGAATCCTTCCTTGTTTGATCGCCCTGGTTGTGCTCCATCGCTTTCAAGAACCGGAGATGCCACGTGTGCTGTGCGAGTCGGCCCCAGCAGTTGCCTCTCAGGCGGCGCAGACGACAAGGCGATCTTTCCGTTTGTCATGTTAGATGGTGTAAGGTCACCAAGCCAGAAATGCCCTGTTTGGCAGCGCTGCACTCAGTGGTTCTGGCCACGTTGGCATGGCATCGTGGTGCCAGGACGGAAGGCTCTATCCGTCGTTTGCGAGAGCTGCTGAACCAGATCTACTGAACTTCAAGCAGCAATCTATTGACGCGATTCCGGAATCCAACAGCCGAAAAACGCTTGCAAGCTGGGACGCAGCCTTTGCAAGAAGTTGACAGAAGGGCATGTCACACATCTGCTTCGACGGATTTGAAGGACACATGTGTCGGTGTAACATTGGGTAACCAGAGATCTGACAAGAATCATCCCAGTACCGAATCGTAATCTAGAATTTCTCACACAATATTCAAAGAAGAAAATCACATACATATAAAAAATAAATATATACTAGAAAGGGGCGGATATATACGGATATACGACACCGATTCTATTTGCCGAACACACACTAATCCAATGCTCAAATTCTCAACATTGATATATATTATCGAAATTCTTATGTCATAACTCCCCTCCGAAGATGCTAATATATATTTTGGAAAGATATTCAATTAGAAATATTTTCTAGATATTTATGAAAGCTTTATTTGAAATTATTTTTTCTTATTTCTTTATATTATTTATATATAGGATTCTTATTGAATATATATATGAATTCTTCTAGGATACGTTAATTTTTGTCATGAGATTTATTTTGAATTCTATATAGTTATTTCATTATTTATATTTCATTTTCTGATATACATATATAATTCATCGCCACCTCGGTGATAGATTATGTCTTTTTAATTGAGTCGATATGTATGGTCTGCTAGCGGATCGGTGGTTATTAGTCCTCCCAAATTTAATTCTAAAATTTCCAAAATTCTTTGGATTTATAAAAATTCTAAAATTTCTAAAAAGTCCGTAATTATATTTTGTAAAATCTTGTCTATTAGATGGGACCTTTTTGGAAATTTTGGAAATTCGAAAAGGTAGGAGAAAGAATTTTGCCTAAGTGAGATTATTTTCTAGCGTATCTATACTATTCTCGTATATATATCTGTGCTCCACATATTTAGGGATCACTCGTGCTTTATCGGTAGTCTCCGTATCGGACTACTAAAATTGGCTTTATTATCATATTTGTAATTAATTTAAATATTACTATCAATATCAGGAAGTCTTAATGTTGGTATTAATGGTATGATTTGCTATATTCATATATTTGCAGGTTGATATATTATTCTTTTATTATATTAGTACAGTAATATATATATATATTTATTTATATATCAGCAAATTAATGGTATATGAGCATATTCATATATTGGTATGTCAGTATATTATTATATTCGTAAATTCGTATATTAATATATTAATATAGGGGTATGGGAGTATATTAGTATATACGATTATATTAGTATATTTTTCTAATAAATTATATGTAACTCAATATATTGGACTGATAGTATATTATAATCTCAATTTATTTGAATATTCCAATATTCGTATATTGATATATCAGCATAATAGCATATTCATTCGCGAATATATTCGTATATTAATAATGATATATGGTTATTGGTATTCGTAGAAGTTTTC